ATCGGGGGGGGGGGGGGGCGGCTTTTTACGCTACGTGTTCGTAAGGCAAGTGTTTGTAACTTTACCAAGACTTGGCCACATTTCTTATCATTTTGATGATTCCAGAACCTTGCAATACACACAAATTCTTATATGCTAGATGATCAACCTTTTCTGGTTGGTTCCACACCGTTTCTTTCACAATGCAGTCGCATGACCAGAACTCAACTTCATTTTTAAAGCAGTCTTGAAACTCTCCTAGTGTGCCCAACACTCCCATCACCTGAAAATATGACACAGATAAAATGAGGGATGCGAGTTTTCAGGCCCTGACACCTTTCCATATCAGGCTTTATCAGGCTTCATATGTACAGTATGTACATAACATATGAGGCTCCATCATGTCTGGGTCTCTTCTCAGGCTCATCTGGAGAAACCGACTAGTATCCCTGTTACAGGGATGCCAGCTTTCAGGCAATAGCCTGTATTCAGGCCCTAGCGAGTTATTTTCAGACCATAGTTTAGGCTTTTTTGTGTACAAAATAGCTCATTCTAGGTGATTTTCAGGCCCTCTGATCAATTCTAACTGGTATCCCTGCTGTTACATGATTGAGGAGCCTGGCAGGTAGGCTAGCACTCCTCCGTCTGACATGTCCCGCTGTGTCATCCAGGGACGCAGAGAGTACAGCTGCAAGAGGCTTGGTTGGCTGGATTGAAATTAGAGGAAAATTTCCATTACTGCCAATTTGGTTTGGCATTCGAACCTCATTCGTTGCTGGTAGATCATAAATTGTCTTTTCGATTGGGAATCCCTTTTATGTTTTAGTTGGTCACTTCTATTGGGTCTTGTAAATGTTCATGTACAGTATATCATAGTATGCAGAGTACCGTAATTAATGTTGTATAAACCGCCCTCATGTATAAACCGCACCCCTCTTTTTCGCCCTAAAAACTCTGTCGGCAGCAAGTAATGTAAATAAAAAAAACAGTATAGGACCTAGGATAAAACCTTGTGGTACACTGTGTAATAAAAGAAAAATTGGAGGAATTATTATTATAAACTACATATTGAGATCTATCAGAAAGATTACTTTCAAACCAAGATGACAGACAAATTTGAGTGTTGTATTAGTTTCCGAGTGGTGAGTCAACACACCAATTGCCAAACTGGGAGACATTGCCAGGCATAGCGCCAGGTGGAAGGGCAGAAATCGAAACTTAACTTTTGTGTGTACTGTGTATAAACTGCACCCACGACTTTGAATTTGTTTCGGCGGCAAAAAAGTGTGGTTTATACACCGTTAATTAATGTACATGGATCATGATCTGGGAGGTTCTTTTAGAACAGCGCGCAATGCATGTCGAATAGTTGCAGTTCTGCAAATTTATGTGGGAGGGGAGGAGCACAGGGCATTAGCTTCCTATATTTGTCGTTCAATTTGATAACTTTTTACCATTTTGCCTCAATTTGTTTGTAATCTTGTCCATGCCTTGGAATTTCATGGCCTTTTATGAAACATAACTACAATAATTATATGCTTTTTATTGGGAAATTGTGTCAGAACATTTAGTACATGTATGTACTTGTGCAACGTCATCTTTTTTCTTTTTTTTTCTTTTTGCGGTGCTTGGTTTCAATTTAATGAGAGAGCTAGAGTGATTTGACAATACTCATGAAAAAAAACACATACACAGGACAATTCATTACTTCTTTCATATCTGGATATCGCACTGATTGAAATTGCACTGATTAAAATTCCATGAGATTGCCTGCCTGCATGCATCGCGGTCATGCTACATGGGATTCATGTTGTGCGAGGGACCGGCCCAGGGAGAGCCTAGTAATTTAGGAAATGGCTTTCGAAGCGTGCCACAGGTGGATGGGAACTGATAGAAGAGAGAAGTCATATTATTGATCGGATTGTGATACAGCCATAGATAGAGTAGAGGGTAATACTTCCATGATAAGCTAGACTGGGAAAGATAGATTTCATTTGTAAGCCTTTTCTATCAGCATGGACCTACAGTCCCTACATGTACCACTTACAGCCTTTTCACACACAGCTAAAATTCATCGTATCTAGAGATGATTAGTATAAACGTGTTTAACTCAACAGTTTTAAACATGTTTATAGAAAATTTTCCCAGTGTGAACATCGTTTATACGATGTTGGGATAGATACAAAGTCGCGATCCATACGCTACTAAAAGCAGGCTGCAGATACGAAGTTCGTATCTAGAGAGCTTGACATTTTGTGTGTGAAAGGTTATTCATGTTTAAACGTGTTTCAGACGTTTTTAAACTGGATGGAGCGTGCGCTTTGATTGATATGACATGACCTTCAATGCGCAATGGCACTACTGCGCACTTTACGAGCAGTAGTTAATCACGAAACGACTAACGATCGCACCAAAATTTCTGTGTGTGAAAGGCTCGTGTTTAGTTTAAACACGTTTCAAACACGTTTATACTAATCATGTTTATAGAATTTTAGCTGGGTGTGAAAAGGCTGCTACTATCCTTATGTATAGCTATATAGATTTCATGCTCGAAACATACATTTCTGTTTCTGAACCATGGGTAATACAGCACCCTTTATACATGTAGATGATACAGGCTTAGGGTCTCTAAACGAAATATGATCATACCAAAATATTTTTTTTTAAATTGAAGTAAACCTAGATCCTATTATTTTTATATCTTTTGCTGTTCACAAAATGCCTCCTGGAATATAATCCTACATGTACATGATATGGTAACCACATATACAGCATTCATACAAAAAAAGGGGAATTTTGTTATTCTGTGCAGTTTCGGTAATCTTTCTTCACTGTCGATAGGAGGGGCTTTCACACCGCAAGCAAAAACCTGGGTTTATCTACCGCAGTTTAGTAGGAAGTTACTTTGCAACCAATAAACCCCTACAACATCTGAATTGAAGAAAAAAAGAAGCATATCTGAATTTTTTTTTTGTGTGTGTGTGTAAAATTTGGGCCATAACTCTGCTGGATTTTGCAGTGTAAATACTTGGTCTCAAAGCACGGGTGGATTGTTCAGGTATTGCTTTATACATGGCTTTCCAAACTTCCACGTTATTGCGGGAGAAGCAACAAGTTCAGGCCTGATAAAAACCCGATTTAAATCGGTTTCCCGATTTTTTTTTTTTATTTTTCCCAATTTTTTTCCCCTTCCCTATTTTATCCTGATTTTCCCTCCCTTCCCTATTTTATCCTGATTTTCTCGATTCCCCCCTTATTTTCTCTATTCTTCCCTATTCTGCCCTATTCTTTCCCCAATTTCATTACTCGAAAGGGGGGAATGTGGTTAGATGCCATTTTTTCCCCCGCAAATCCTCTTCTTTTTTTTTTACTCAAGGGGGCCGTGGTTGAGGGGAAAACAAAAAACCTATTTTTTTTTTAGTGCTCACTTTCACCCCTGCAAGTTGTACATGCGTATTCCTGACTAACACCATGGCTTTATACTGGTTTTGCCAGTAGTGTAAATGATAGTTTAAAAAAAAAAATTGTATTTTATAGTGTAAATGGGCCTGCAGAATAGGTTTGATTTTGGAAGAAGAGTTTTGAATGTTTTGGCTCATTAAGCAACCCTCGGAAGCTAATATTGATTTTTATAAAAGTTTTCTGCATTTTCTGCTTTCCAATGAAAACTAGAGATTTCAAGGAATACCAGGAAAGGAGAGCTTGATTTCCAATCAAATCAGTGATTTAAGAAATCTGAAGTGTGTGTTTTCTTGCCCTTGTTAATAACTAGAAGGAAAATATTGAGAGGAAGCAGGGGAATTGTTATTTTTCATGGTTTCACTCATCCGTTACTTCCCTTTAATATGAATGTGAAGCTTCAAAAAACATTTCAATCAAAGGTAGTAGGATTATTGTGGATTCATAGGGGTACTTACAGGAGGAAAACAATAGAAAAAGACAATCGATGCAAATCTCATTACTGAAGTAAATTCTGTTGCCATTCAGGCGTTGTTGATTCAATTTAGTGTGCATTGGTTGAAAATTGTTTGAATTCCTGCTTTTGCTTAGCTTTCCTTACTTCAACTCTCAAATGAGCAGTGAGCCATGAAATGAAAATGGATTAATTTTGCCATAATTCTGACTACTTTGTATAGTACTCCTCCAGGTATGTTTACCATGCGAGACAAAGCAAGAATGTAATTATGTTTACACTATTTTAATTTCTTTTTTCTCTATCCAATCCAACCAAGTGCCTTGAAAATAGTTATAATAATAATAATAATAATGATGAAAATCAGAGGCTTACATGTAAAAAATACAGTTACATCCACGCGAAGTTGAGCTTTAATATTCTGGCCTGACTTTTCAGCAGCCAATTGCATTTGAAATTTTTGTTTTCTGTATACTAAGTACCCATGATATACTGTACATGTATGCTTGTTTTGATTTTGTTCAGGATGAAATTACAAATTGCTTTAATTCTTCATTTTCTACAGTGAATTTATCAAAGTTATTTTTTCTTTTCAACTGGAATGATCTTCCCAGTTTTCCCGTGCAACCAGCTGTCTCTCAAACCCTCCACAAATATCTAAAAACTTGCCTCTTCTGTCGACAACATAATTTAAAACGTATTTGAACATGTATATGGAAAGTGTGCTATGTAAATACATTATTATTAATATTCAGGGGGAAAAAATATCAGGGGGCGGCGGGCGAATTTGCCCCGGAAATACCAATAAGAGCCCCCGAAATAGGTCAACAATCCGATTATGGGGGCGACATCAAAAAGGAAGTCCAAAATCGCCCCCATAACAATTGCGAAACCTTAATCAAAGATATACATGTATAAGTATTAAGTAATAAGCCAGGTGCCTTCTAAATAAACTAACAAATTGTATCCTTTTATGAATAAATGAAAAAGTAGCCCCCCCCCCCCCAATTTCCCCTAAATTGGATATGGAGCCCCCTGAAATAAAATAGTTTGTTGTTTTCACTGTTAATATTATATTCCCCTTCCTTTTCTTTTGTGTATTTTGTAGAATGAGAGTCCACCTCATGCATTCTGTCTCATCAATAAGAACCTGAACAAGGGGAGCATGATGGGCTCTGATGTCTACCTGTGCTACAAGAAATCAGCCATCAGGGGAAACTCAATAGTGTACCAAGCAGGTAAGAAATCTACAGAGGATCCGTGGTTGAGTGGTTAAGCAGTGGTTCAGAAACCTCAAGGTCCAGGGTTCAAAGTCTGGTTATCTCTTTACATGATTCAATAGGCCTGTCTTCATCAGCCTGAGTTTGCCAAATAACCCGCTATTTTCTGACTCAAGATATTATCCTGGAGCTTGAAATTATGTCTTCACCAGACGATACGCTCATCACAAACTAGTGCGGATGGGCCCAAATAAGCCCGCTATTTCCTAAATAGCAGGATATTTTGGAAACAAGACCCAAGATTTCTTAGGATATTTTCTCAACCAAATATCCCGCTATTTGCGATCAGGATAGTTAAAATATTGGGTTATTTGGCAAACTCGAGCTGATGTAGACAGGCCAAGTATTGATCTGGGAGTCGAACGTGTTGGAAAAAACGAGGCTGAGTCAACCAAGAGAATGGAATTGATTGCATATGCCTGATCGAAAGTTACCAGTGTCTTTTAGAATACCGATTTCAAGATCATTTGAAAGGACTATATAAAATATTTACATTGTACTAAAAAGGTACACTGTAATGTTGGAAATTTCAAGAGGTGAAATTGTACAAAATTGACCCTGACATACAATGTACCGTAGGTCTACAGTTGGACCAGATCAGGTTTTTTCTCTGAACCAAATAAAAGATGAATAGGGAAGTACTCATCTGCTTGATCCAAATTATAATAATGAACTGTTTACCATTCATATGTCAGAATATGTAACAGATTCCCATCAATCTATTATATATTCTCTCTCCTTGTCTACCTTTATATTCCCTTCAGAATATTTGTATGAATTGGAATCTACTCCCCCCCCCCCTCCTAATGAAATGTATCTTTGGGATAATAATGATTTATGCCTTGAATACATTCAAGGATCAGTGCACACAAAGAGCACCAGCCAATTTGAAATGCCCATAAAAGTTGACACATTTCCAATGACCTAAAGAGTTGAGTTTGTTTCTACCAGATTTCTTTGGTCATTCTTTCATTGTAACCCACCCTCCACCAATCACCCTCAAGAAAAGTAACCCCGCTCTTCTCTTTAATAATCCCTAATAATCAGAGTCAATGATCTATCCAGTTAATAACAATAACCCCAGAATCTGTCCCCATAAAATTGCAATATAAAGGGAGCACCTAGCCCTTTGAAAAAAATGTATAACAATTGACCCACTTTGAGCTACCAGTAGGGCTCCAGTAGGCAGCAACAATCTGTTGTCATTCTGAAGAGAGCAAAGGGCCCCTCTCAAGTTCAATTAGATTCCTATTGAATGTGGGGACACAGGAAGTCTATTCATACCACAGGGTATTATTTACAGCGTACAGGGTAGGTGTAAAATACCGACTAGTTCTCAACTAGGTGATAAATTCCAGAGATAATGGGGGAAGCAGAGAAGTGAGAAAGCACAGTTTCATCCCTCATATACTATTAAGGATTTAAGTACATCTTTTATCAAACAAGCTCCTGAAATATTTAGATAACAGAGCTCTGTGTGCTGAATAAAGTTGCTTCCGTGTACATAAACTGTATAATGTCCGTGTACTGTAGCACTTCAATATTATTAAAGTGTATTTACTTGTGCAGGTTTATTAAACAATCAAAGCTTCCCCCCTATACTTCCGCTTTGTTGTTATCGTGTAGTTGCCAACTAGGTTAAGTTGACATTTATATCAATCATTTGCCCAACCATTGGCAGTCCGTTAAAGATTTGAATAAATATACCCCTAGTCCATTTCTGTCAGCATGGTAAACTCCACCACTACTTCTAATAGTATTCCATATTTGTGTAACGCATATCACAAAGTGTCCCTATGTGCTTTAATGAAGAGAAAGGCTCGGCTGAGTCAGATGATTATTATATATATCAGTTGTTACAATATAATAGTTCTCTCTAATATTATTATCACAGAGATCAATACCCCTTTTACACACACAAGACTGAAAGACTAAAAGCTGCTGAAAGCCAGGATAGAAATATGATTGCAGGGCCTTCAAGAAGAATAGTGTTAATAAAAAAGACTATTTATATTGATGAGGCTACCCTGGGTAGATAAGACCATACAGGTGTATTATTAGCTTCATGATTTAATGAAATGTATGATCTCTTATTTGCTTATTTCCAGACATGCTAAGCCGTTACCCGTTGGAGGACTACGATGACTTCCCCCTTCCCCAATCCACCCCGTTCTGTATGCCCATGGGGGCGGCCATCGAGTGCTGGGCGGAGACCAGGGAACACCCCCTCCCCGTCTTCTCAACGTTCGTCCTTACGGACATTGCCGGTGGAAAGGTACAAAGGGTGGAGTTTGACAAAGTAGAAAGTCTCTAAATTTGTGACTGTCGAGAACTGTTTCTGCTGAAGAAAGATCCGCAGTCAATTTCAGGAAATGATATCATTGTATTGAATAAAACAAAGGATGCTGATATGGTCTGCTCTATTTAGACAGGCCATGCTGAAAGTACAAACTTGATTATACAAAATATAGAGGAAAGGTGTGTTCAGGAAATGTTATTTCTTCTTTCTTGAACCTTGATGAGATAATCCCTGAAGCAGCTTTTCCAAATTGAGAATCTTTCTCAGGGTAATATATGATCACTACGTCAAGATGAAAGATAAAAGAGAGTAGTCTACTGATTTACTCTGTTATATTTCTTAAGATGATTTTCGTGTAATGATTTCATGATGGTATATGCACATCAAAAAAATATTTCATGAAGTTGAATGATTCATTTTTGTTATACTTCAAATGAATATCGTAATGTCACATTTTACCTTGTATTCAACGTTTGAATTTGTTGACTTTTCCCCAAGACCCAACCAAAACACTTTCCTTTACACTTCTTACCCCCCTAACTAGGTGTACGGAGCGGCCGTGACCTTCTACGAGAACTATCCCGAGGAGAAACTTAGCGAGCAACAGAGGGAGGCCTTGCAGTTGAAGCCTACCGACACCAAGAACGGGCCGTCCGGCTACAACATCCACGTCAACAAGTGCGTCTGTCTCCTCTCCCATTGGCCCTTCTTTGAGGCCTTCAAGAAGTTCCTGGCCTTCATCTATCGGGTCTCCATCTCGGGGCCGCGTTCGATACCCATCGAGAGGTAGGTTGTCCATTTTTTTCACTCTTTTAAATTCTGTTTTTATGAACTTAAAGCGCCCCACTGCACTATTTATAACTACTTGCGCCCTCTATATAGCAAACAATCCCTAATCGGTGACCGTTGGTCCCCCATGGTCACCTTTTTCTTATATTGAGAACTGATTTGATGAGATAACCACTTGTCAGTGACCATGCAGGGAGGTCTAATCCCTCCTGGCCAAACTAGTACAGATAGGCTTTAAAGTAATGTTGAGTTCAGATGATAGCATCTTGAGGAACTCTATAGAAACTGTCGTTTTGAGTTAGTGATCATCTGGTTTAAAAAATAAAAAATAAAAAATAAATTCATCCTGTAAACTGACGAACGACAAGCTGGTGTTGATCCTTCAATATTTTGTCTTGTGAAGCGATTGAATGATAAAACTGATTTGCTATTTGTGAAAGTTTCTGGCCGTGAATATTCATAAAAGCTCGGGTTCGTGAAAGATTGTACAATACTTAATAGCGGTAAGTAATAGGGTTCAACAAAATATTTCAAAAAGTTATAAAACATCCTTATTCTTCTTTGCATGTGTTGTTGAATTTCTGTTCAATTTGGTCAGTAATGTTTTTGGTTTAAATCAAGGATTCAAATTCCAGTTCTATTTTCTAAAATGTGTATTTTGTTATTAGAATTCAAAGTCCTTAGAGCCCCACTGCACTAGTTTGGCCAGGAGGGATTAGACCTCCCTGCATGGTCACTGACTGATGGTTATCTCATCAAATCAGCTCTCAATTAACAAAAGAAAAAAGGGATCATGGGGGACCAATGGTCACCGATTAGGCATTGTTTTGCTATATGGAGGGCGCAAGTAGCTATAAGTAGTGCAGTGGGGCTTTAAAAGTAAGCCTCAGAGTTGATATAGGTAATCAACTATGATAAAACTGATTTTACGTGCTACTTACATGTATATGTGGTGGTCTGTGATTTTGGCCTACACTCATTCCCAACACAGTCATGCATGTTGAAATATCTGTGTATTATGTTTTGGTAGAGACAGCAATATTTTTAGTATCTCATCAACTGAATCCCTGAGGGAGCACATAAATGTCAATGTACCAGCTGATGGTCGTCAATGTCCATGCAATGCAATTACCATGTCTGGCAAACGTCAGAGTGTTCATATTCTCTGATCCATCAACCCTCCTGCTACTCAAATTGGCAATCCCTTTTCAGAAATTATTTTGGGAAGTGATTTGCCTGCATGTCTGTGCTTTTGAGCAGGACTCTTGAAAATGAAGATGACAAACAGTTCAATCTCATACAGTAGGCTTGCGGGTGCACCATGTGAGAGAGAGAGAGAGAGAGAGAGGATTGAGGAGTCCTAAAAAGGACCCTCTGTAATCTTTCTTGAGGGTGTGTAGTCCTGAAAAGGACTGTTTGTGTAGTCGTGAAAAGACTGTTGGTTATCTTTCTCAGCTCATAGTGCAATCTTACAGCACCGTGCTGCTAGCTAATGTTTGATCCCCTATATCATATATTGTTTCTTATAACCTAGACAGAACTTTTTATTTTCATGAATAATATTTACTGTCAGCTTGATATAATATATACTCATAACTTGTTCAGTAAACTCTCAGTACAAGTACTGTAACTGTCTTTATATCTCCTAAATGTGATGCATACAACTGTTAAGCTAGTAACAATATTATAATTTTTAACCTCATTTTCAAATGCATCAGGCTACAGGCAGTGTTAATTAAAGACATAAGCTCTACAACATATACAGGATGTATACCTGGTATACAAAAATGTCTATGAAACCATATAAGAATTAATGTTTAATATAAGTGCCAATAAATGAGGGGTTGCGTTCTAGGAAGCCTTCTAATTTCATTAGTTTCAGTCATCTCTGGCTAGAAAGAGAGTACTTCAAAAACCACTTTCATAGGCACAGCCACAAAGCAACATTTCTGTGGATTAGATATACATCTACAGCTTCCCGTATTTGATACATCTGTAATTTCTGTGAAGTGAACGATGCTATTTAAGGAAGCAATGGAAAAAACACAAGAACTCTTGTAGTTTTAGAACCCTCAAGATGGGCTAAACTATGAAAAGAGAAACCAGAACACATAAGTCCTAACTTGTATTAGGAATGGATGTAGGAACTTTCACTTAGAAATTAATGGGAAGGTTGAGGCCAAGCCAGCAAAATTACAGGAAGGGAACTCCTTGAACGTTTTGCAAGTGTGGCCATACCTAATTTTTTGGGGGGGAAATGAAAACGTCAAATTATAGTAATTTTGTTTGTTTAGAAATAGGATTTTTATGAAAATATTTTCATTCTTAAAATTTGTCTTTTCCATTTTTTCTTCAGGCATATCTCTCATTTCATGCACGAGGTGCCCTTCCCAACACCTCAGAGACCAAGGATACTTATGGAGGTAAGTCATATATAAAATATATTGTCTGTTAAAGAGTCAGATGGGCATTAATGTTTGGTTAAAGGGATTGGGTCAGATTCTAAACAAAATCCTTGATTTTACTCATGCTGCAATCATATTTATAAACCTTTAGGTCAGTCTGGAATCCCATGGCTTTTACTGATTATCAAGATATTTATGATTGGAATTCAAAATTTCAAAACCTGTTTTCCTAACAGTTTTCACAGTACAGTCTATTGGAGAAAATGAATATGGTAAAACCTGTTACTCATAAATTTTTACTTTTTTAAGGAACTTCATGATCTAGGGGCTAGGGACTAATAGCCCTCATCAGGGATGCCCTTTTTCAGGCTCTGAAACCTTCCCCAATTACACCTCGGTCACACCCGCCAGACCAACTCCAAACTGAATCCAAACTGACCAATTTTTGGCCATTCGTGGTAATGTAATTGCTGATTCGGTCTGCTGTTGGTCTGGTCTCGGTTTTCGTTTGTGTGACTGAGGTATTAGGCTTTTCAGGCTTTTCAGGTTTCATTTTGTAGAACACATATGGGACACGAACATGTAGGAGTCTCTGTTCAGGCTCGTTTGTTAAACCAACAGTTGTCTTTGCCTCAAGACTGGTCAGAAGGCACTACAAAGAGCCTGTAGCAGATGAGAAATGTTGTCAGGTCCTGAAAGTGATTGTATGAAATCTTTCAATGCTGGTTCTGCACTATTAAAAGGGAGGGATGTGTTTCTATCAAAATTGTGGCAAGCGTTTACAGGCCAGCTAATATCAAGGACAAACACAGAAAACAGTGTTTACCATAAAGATGAATATCTCACAGTGCTCGAACTTTGAAATGGGAGCTTTCTACAAGATTCCAGAAAGAAAATTATCTAAAATAATGTAAACAAAGGTACCTTGGTACTGTTAATAGTCTTTGACCTTTGACCTTATAACCGGGTACTTCAGCTGTCGGAGACTAAATATTGATAAGTGTGTTGTTTTGTTCATCATACATGATAGCAGGTGGGGAAGTTTGTAGTTTGTGCAAATATTTTTCATGCCGTAGACAAAGCTTTTCTGGGTCAAACGTTCAGCTGTTGCGCTAAATATTCAACTAGCAGGTGCTATATTTTACATGTGGATGTCTGTGTACTTACTAATACAGACATGTAAATGCATAGCCATATAATGTAGATGACATTCATTGAGGAAGACAAAATAAAATAAAAAGATTACAAGAAAGAATCTATTACAAGTTGATGTTATTTGATGTATGATCAAGTTTTGTAGATTTTATATGATAACTAATTCTTGGTTAACACGTTAAAGACAATGATGCCTAAATTAATGTATGATTTAACCCCATTGGATAAGTGTATTTTATAAGGAAAATATAAATGCAGATATACATAGAGATATTTGAAAGTAAATATTTGAAAAACCATTAATAGTGCTAATATAAAGTGTATCTTGTTTTATTGTCCTTGATTAATCCAATTAAATACCATTATGGGGTTTCAATTTTACACCAATTTATTTTTAATCTTAAAAAAAAAATTCTTGTGAGTTTAAAAGATGAATGAAGAAATCAAATGTAAACATTGCATAACTTGCATTGTTCCCTGTTACTTGCAATTGGGCAAGTCCAAGCTATTAGGCCACATGGGGTCAAGTATGTTGCCAAATTTTCATGAAATCATGAAAATGAATTGGTATGAAAGTATTATTTTTCATGATATGTTGTCAGACCCACACTCTAGCATTGCTACAAGTACATTGTATGAACTGAACATGATGATGTGATAATAATATATGTCTTATACAGTAGGCTTACTTGCGGTTACGGTAGCCTACTGTATATCTACATCACCATGCAAGCCGATACTTACAAGCAGCATCTAATATATGTCTTGTTAACCTAGAGTAGCCTCATCAGTATTGATGCTGTTCTTCCAGAGAGCTCTGCAATCACATGTACTAATATCTAGACGTGATCGGTAACATACAACACAAAATACACCATACTGAAGCTTGAACTTCCCTAGCAGGAATTAATTCCTTGAAATGCTGGAGTGCTGTAATGGCAGCTAGGCTAAAGCCGGGGTTATAATTAGTGCGCCTCGGAATAGAATTTCTAGATAGACGGCGATATAGAAATGCCTATTATTATTATTATTATGTTACACTGTTGTTATTTCAGTTGGGCCATGACCAGCTGATCCTGGCTACGCCCCAGACCTCGCCCATCCCTCTGAGTGGAGCCAGCTACTGTGCCATGCTGAGGAACCTGGGACCGGAGAAGACCCTCAACGTCTTGGCCTTCTTACTCATGGAACACAAGCTGGTCCTGCACTCACTTAGACCAGCCCTGCTCACTGGTGTGGCAGAAGCGGTCTCTTCGGTAAGTCAGTCTCCTGGGGGTGTTTCACAAAGATCCTAAGTTGAACTTATCTGTAAGTTGGACATAACATTTATGGAAAGCCGTTAGCATCTATAAAAATATTTTGAATTTTTTTTTTTTAAAGACATAAAATGTTGAATCAAATTATTCATATTTTCTATTACCAAGGAAATTTCATGTTCTTGATGGAGAATTCATAAAAAGTCTAAAATACTTTAATTTTCGCTTTTGAATATATTTATTTTAAGGCTAAACATGGCTCTCCTAATTTTTATGTCCAACTTCAAGTTAAGTTTGACTTAGGATCTTTGTGAAACACCCACCTGGGACGTCCATTTTGTTGTTGTTGTACGTGTGGTTTTTGTAGAGGTGTCGTGGTCTAGTGGATGCGTCACTAGACCGTGGATCACATGGTTTTGCGGCTCGAATCCCACCGCAGCCCCAATGTCCTTTGGCAAGACATTAATCTACATTTGCCACTCTCCACCTACTGTAGGTGAAGTAGATGGGTACCCTGTAGGAAGGAATTCCTTGACTGATTTGGCATCTTGATATGGTAGCTCGGCTACAGCCGGGGTAATAATATGATACTTTGTATTAAGCGCAGTAGAGTATATTCAGATAGTAGCAGCGCTATAAAATAAAGGGACCTATTATTATTATCATTATTATTATTAATTAATTCATTTTTCTCTTTGCAGTTAATCTTTCCCTTCGTGTGGCAGTGTCCCTACATACCCCTATGCCCACTGAGTCTGTCTGACTACCTGAGTGCCCCAATGTCTGTGGTGGTGGGGATCGACTCCCGCTACTTCGACATGTATGACCCTCCCAACGACGCCATCTGCATCGATATCGACACCAACACAATCTTGCAGTAAGTTGCTAATTGTTACTCTCAGGGACTGTTTGTGATGCTGATGCAGGGCTTCATACTTACTTCATACTAGTTTTTGTTTCAGGGACTACAAATTTAAGGGTCGGTATACAGGGGCCTGCTTATAAAATTTTGTAGTTTTCTCATTTTTATGTCTGATTTCTTTCAAATTTTCATCAGTCTACTTGTCTGATTGAATATGAATATGAATATACCCAACCCTAACCCTTAACTTAACCTTAAGCCCAACGACAACCCCCATCCTTACCCTAATCTTATACATGTACCTTCAATGAAATAAAGCCTGGAGAAATTGTTGCAAGGGCAATCGTCAGATCACCTTTGGTTCCCAAACTTGTATACAGTTTTCTTCCAAGGAGGGAAGTGAGCATAGCATGGTTTAGTAAGGCAACTGTTTAGTATAGCAATCAGCAGTGTGAAACACGTGCAGTATATACATTGATGCCTGGATGTAATGAGGAAATGAGATAGTAATAGTAAATCTGTTTGTCTGAGGAGCCATAAAGTGTTGATATGATACTTTGTACTCTTCAAGTATGCTTAATGTATGTTTTATGGATTTGCAATTACATGTACATTAAAGGATCTGAAAGTGGTGTCAGTAAGAAGAGAAACCAATTAATGGTGATTATCACGTACGTTAATAAGTCAAGGAAAAAAATTAATAATGGAATAATGCTTGTTTCAATTTCAGACTCGATGACAAGAAAGGAATAACATGGAAGATACTACCAAAGGTGAGTTTTTGTTTGTTTTGTTTATTCAGCACAGGAACAAAGAAGGACTTATCCTTACAACCTACTTTTTAATAAATCATAAAATATTTTAATATCTTTAACCCTAAAAGGGCTAAGGATATATTGCGCTTTAATGATTGTGATGATGATGATGAGGGTGGTAATATTAATAATGAAGAGGAGGGTAATGATGAGGATGACACTCCTGTAGGGCTATTTTGACTTGATACAATGAGCAGAAAAATGTATCATAATACAGCGCAGTGCTGTATGTTGCTGTCCAATATCTTGGACTCACTTTCAAATTCTCAAATAGACATCTTTATGAACTTCTACAAGGACATGTAGATCTATTTTAGGTAGAAAGATACCCCCTCGTCCCTATGTAGAGCTATCAACAGTGCTGTATTTTGCCTTCCAAAATCTTGGACTCACTCTCAAATGCTGAAATTTTAGGTAGAGAGATTGCTGTGTAGTGTGCATGAGTGACTTTTGACTCTCCTCGTTGTTTTGTTTGTGTCTTAGAAACCAGCCAAGAGACTGTACAACACCCTGACAAAGATATACCAAGACATCCAGGAGTCAGCGGTAGGTGATGGCATCTCTGATGAACTCGCCGTCGAGGTGTCGCCCATCACGCTGGATTTTAGCCTGAAGAAGAAACAGGTGAGTCGTCCACTAATTGCTTGTAAACTATCTGATAATTGTTCAGTGCGCTTTAATGATTGTGATAATTATGGTGATGATGATGGTGGTGGTGGTGATGATGATGATGATGATGCTGATTTTGAGGGTGGTGGCGATGAAGATGATAGTGATGGTGATGGTGATGACGACGACTAGTCGACGATGATGACTTTGAAGGTGGTGGTGATGTTGATAACAATGAAGATGATGATCAGAGAAAGAAAGAGAAAGAAAAAAAGACTGAAAATGTGTCCAAATGAATTATTGAGTCCAAATAAATTGTGACAATGATGATGATAGAAATATAGCAAGAAAAAGAGAGAGAGAGAGAGAGAGAGCAAATGAGAATAGTGTAATATTTTCCTAGACAACCATGTGGCCTACTGCCTCATTTCACTTTTTCTGTTAAAATGATTTGCATGAGTTACTCCTTTTTTCATATTTTTTAACATTATGGCTTTTAGTGGCCACATGCTATTTAGCATGAAACGGCAGAAGATCTTGATCTTCGTACATGTTACAAATTTTTGGGAACAATAGAAAATAGAAACAGCAGACAATTTTATCCTTGAAATTCAGTTGACCTGAAAACCTGGACACAGCAAATTCAATTTTTAATCCTCACTGATCTAAAACGCTAACAGAAATTGTTACCTTTTGAAGTACTTAAGCAGAGCTGCCAACCATTCCGTTTTTGCCGGAATTACTCCGTTTTTCCCTCCAAATTACGGTATTACGTTTTTTCTTCATAAAATACGTTTTTTAATAATTTTTATATTTTTTTTATTTATTATTATTTTTTTTTACAGACCGCACGTCCAACAATTGCCCTAAAATGGTGATTTGATCACGAATTCAATAGAAAACTAATTTTAAAACATACTTGAAGAGAAAAATATTCTCAAAAGAAATGAAATGCCGATAATACCAAAATAACCACCAAAAAAATTACCTGCTTGTATGGAAAAAACAGCATAATGAATGAACATTTTTGCATTGGAAGTGTGTCGCGCGTGGTTGTAAGTTTCGTTTTTATGAATTCCTTTTTTTTGCTTGAAATTCCTTTTTTTTGCCATCATGATTCCTTTTTTTGGTCGCACAAGGTTGGCAGCTCTGCTTAAGTGGCTCAAGTTGAATTTGTCCCGTTGTCTTGTACTCGGTGTATGGCTCTGGGACCCGTTTCACAAAGCCTTTTTTCGATGACAAATTTGCTCTCAGCCAATCAGAAGCGAGGATTTCAGTAGCTTATAACAACAACTGCCATTTGTCACCGATGGCAAGTTTTTATTAAAACAGGACCCTGGTGTACTTATTCCTCATTTCTTCTTTCTTACTTTGACAGATGCAACTGGAGATGAGGATTCAGGACGCATTCCTAGCCTTCATGGCGATGATGCTGAAGGGTTACAGCCATTATCTACTCCCTATCACTCAGCAACCCAGCAATAGAGCTCTAGATGCTAGCTCAAGATTCGACTACCCAGGTTAGTCAAAACAATTTTATTTTTATATACAAACCTTCAAGCATGTCCATAGAGGCCACTCAGAGAGAGAGAGGGAGAGGGAGGTAGAGAGAGAAGGAGAGGGAGGGAGGGTGGGAGAGGGGGAGAGGGAGGAGAGAGAGAGGGAGAGGAGATGAGGATTCAGGATGCATTCCTAGCCTTCATGGCGATGATGCTGAAGGGTTACAGCCACTATCTACTCCCTATCACTCAGCAACCCAGCAATAGAGCTCTAGATGCTAGCTCAAGATTCGACTACCCAGGTTAGTCAAAACAGATTTATTTTTATATTATACAAACCTGTCCATAGAGGCCACTCAGAGAGGGAGGGAGGGAGAGAGAGGGAGGAAGGGAGGGAGAGAGAGAGAGAGAGAGAGAGAGGGAGGGAGGAAGAGGGAGGGAGGGAGGGAGGGAGGGAGGGAGGGAGGGAGGGAGGGAGGGAGGGAGGGAGGGAGGGAGGGAGGGAGGGAGGGAGGGAGGGAGGGAGGGAGAGAGAGGGAGGGAGGGAGGGAGGGAGGGAGGGAGGGAGGGAGGGAGGGAGGGAGGGAGGGAGGGAGGGAGGGAGGGGGAGGGAGGGAGGGAGGGAGGGAGGGAGGGGAGGGAGGGAGAGAGAGGGAGGGAGGGAGACGGAGACAGAAAGGGAGAGAGAGAGAGAAGAAGAAAAAACAAGAGACAGAGACAGATAGAGGGAGAAAGAGAGAGAGGAGGTCCGGGGGGGGGGGGGGGGTTCAATGATGATAGGCAGGCATTTTACTCATGCTATGAAAAGGCGAAGCACAGTGCTGGTATTTTTACCGACAAAGGTTTATCAAAACTATTTACCAGAACCAAGGTGTGACAAATGTTGGCATTATATGCATGCTCTTGACAGCTTACTGCAAGACATATTATGGCATATCAGCTTTAATAGAGCAAGGGTTTGGAAAAATATTTTGATAAAATCACTTATCACCCAAATGTTGCTATAAGAAATAGTAATCAGCATTCATGTGAGAAATCACTCCTTTTCCTAACATTGTGCAGTGTACATATGTTTAGGGAAATATTTTCACACGATCATCAATATCAATCGCCTAATATTTTGATAAGGGCAACAGAATGTAAGTATGGAAAAAATAAAAGTAAACAGCATTCATGTGAAAACCACTTCACCTCTAAATCATTGTATAATTTAGTATAAATACAGTAGATTTAGATCAATATTTTTACAAGATCATCAGAATGTCAGTTGACTGATATAAAACCACAAGGTTAAGGATAAAGTTCTGTATGGAGTATGAATGAGTAGCAACGATTCTTTTCATTGCCACGGAAGCGTTAGAGGCACATATTTAAAAAAGTGCGAGATGGGTGGGCGATCCCACTGCGTAGGTGGTCTATTGAACTGTCTAATCCCCTCGTTGTGTGTAAACCATGCTTGGATGCTTACTGTCCGAGTCAAACCACATGTTGATTTAAGCATTGTGTGTGATTGCACGAGGGTGGGAGGTCATTGATTGAGCAGCTTTTACCTTGGAGGTTAGGTCCTTGAATGGATATCATTAAGGTGACGGTGGATTGTTCAGATAGTTGATATTGCTGCGTCGGTTGTGGCCAGAGATGCATGAATACACATTAGTATGTACTTGTATGTGGATCGCAATCCCATGATCGTTGTTATACAAACAATACATGTTTGTGAGTGCATTAGTGAATATGCAACAAATTTGTAGAAGTAAGAGGTTTAATCGGTGATAAATCTTCTTCATCTTCAATTGTGTTCAGCATTTTCAATTTACCTACGTTAATTGAAATGAAATTAGAAATATTTTTGTTTTGCACGTTTGTCAGAAACCCCATACATGTACCTGCAGTAGAACCAAACTCTGCTCTGAAGAAATCATCAATGTATTCCTCTCTCTCAAAGATGTTATACACATATCTTTTAATTTTAGTTGTGAAAAAGATGCATATAAACATAAAGGGTTAAAAAATTTGCATTTAAGCCCCACTGCACTACTTATCGCTATTTGCGCCCTCTACATGTATATAGCAAACAATGCCTAATCGGTGCCTGTTGGTCCCCCATGATCCCCTTTTTCTTATGTTAATTGAGAGCTGATTTAATATTTTAATATTTGATTTGTATTTGTTTGCCTCAGGTTTCTTGAAGACTCGAGACAAGGCATCCCACGTGTTCTTCAAACAGTTCCTGAAAACACAGATGTTCATCAAGTTCATTGAAGAGATCTCGTTCGTCTCAGAAAACGATGAGAAATTTGCCTTCTTTGACGACTGTATTGATAAGGTAGCTATTTATTCATTCCAAGTCTTTCCTTAAATAGCTCTCCTTCTCCAAACTGCTAATCAAATTGTTTATCGCTGAATATGTGCTGCAATGCATTGTTTAATTTACCTAGCATTCTGTCTCTGTAAATGTCTTGGCATAAGAACATGAAAACATAGAACACAACTTGTCAGTGACTGAGTTTGATGGTCACATTAGTAAAAAAAAAAAATCATCAGCTGTACACAAGAAGGCTTGCACTGCGATGGACAGTACATAGTTCTTGCTGACGGAAGAAGAAATATCTTTTGTTTTGATAATGATAATTAAACCAGTTGTATATTTTGATAGACCAATACGAGCTACCTGCAGCTGCAGCTTTTGATATCAGGAGAATAATAAATAAATAATAATAATAATAATTGGATTTACAAAGTGCCTTTTCCAAGGGACACAAGGCACTGTCTCTTAGACTATCAACAATTTAAGAGGAGTTGTACAGGTACATGTATGTTTTCAGTTGTTTTTTGAAGAAATCTAGTGAAGTACTGTTTCTTAAGAACGAGGGGAGTTTGTTCCAGAGATGCGGGGCTAAGAATACATTATAAAATTCATGAATAAATGAATCGATGCATCATTACCACTCCTTTTCGACATGACGTTGTTTTCTCCAGGTTGATATTGACTGCAAAGATGACATTCATCTGATAGACACTGAGAGTCAGGTGGATAGTGAGCATACAGTCTTTGTCATGCCTCCTGATGCGGATGGTACTGGCACTCAATACGAGTAAGTCTAATTAACCCTTGGACTACTGAATTATCTAATTCCCATGGGCTTAACACAGGCACCACCCGGGTCCCGTAGACAATAGGTTAAGTACTCACACTAACTGGAGTGATTTTCCTTCATGGTAAGCAATTAACTAATTTTATTGATTAAATTATAAATTCTGAAATTCTTTATGTGTAAGAAAGATATTACATGGGAATTTTACATTTACATGTATTTACATGTCAAGTTGGTCTAACCCGGTGTCATACCAGAGTTCAAACTAGAAACTATTATGATAACCTGAGTTATATTGGCAGGATAAGGATTGCATTATTTTTAAAACACTAAGTCAAAGCTTATTTATTAGATAACAATTCTGAGATCTTTTAGTCTGTTGTAAAGAAATTTTATATGCCACTCTACACGACTCTAAGGTGGCAGAAATAATCTGTTCCTTTAGTTTATAGGAGTATGATTAATAATTTCTTCTTTAGTTTATAGTCTGACTTTTCAAGATAATTTATGAGCTGTTAATCATGTTACAAATGAAATTTCATTCTTTGGAATACAAGACTCATAGGTCCAAATTCACAAAGGAGGTTTATATTTAACCCATGGTTTAAACCATCATTTACATAACCCATGGCTTCAAATTAGCACAAATAAAGCGTATCTTGCCTTGCACGTGTGTAATAAATATTGGACCTCTGACTGTGTCATGCTTATTTTGCGCTAATTTTAGACCATGGGTTAAATTTAAACCTCCTTTGTGAATTCGGGCCATAGGGTATACCATATTCAGCCCGACTCATCTCAATTCATTTATCCATTCTTTTTTTCTGCAGCTACACCGATTTCCCAATCCTGAAACGAGAGCTGTTCCACGCTCCGCCGACTGCGGAGGTCCGAGACCAGCTGTCGACGCCCAACATCAGCAGGACCAAGCAGGGCGTGGCCCAGAGTCCGTTCCCCAGGAGGACCAAACAAGAGATGAGGAACTCTCAGAAGATGGCCAAGATGCAGGCTGCATCACCAGAACAGTGGGCAAAGTGAGTAGCTGCGATTTCTGCAGAACGACAGGAGTAGGCTGGCATGAAGCCTTTCCATTAAAAAATGCCTTGGTTGAACTATCTTGGCAGTAGACTACACTTATAGGCCTTATCTTATACTACATTTGGGCCCCGTTGCATAAAACTTACCATTGATGGTAGCTTTGCCATCAATGGCAAGTACCATGGTTACAGGGCTCAACGGCCAATCAAAATCAAAGTTTCCATGGAAGTTACCATCAATGGTAAGTTTTGTGCAACAGGGCCCTGATCTAAATTATTGTGTAAACAAAATTTAAGCTTGGCTTGGGATATTGAGTGTCAACATGCAGTCCATTCACTAATATAGACTATAATTTTTGTTTTAAAGAAATATACATGTAGGGTGGTATTCCCAGAAGATCTGAGTAACCAGGGTGGTCTTTGTGATAACTCTACGCCATGATTTTAAATTAATAAAGTTTATGAGTTGCTAAACAAATCATAATGCCTTGTGAACACCCTTCTTACTAACCTTCTCTCTTTTTGTTCTTTCCTACATAGCTACCTGTTAGGCCAGTCCTATGCTCTGTGGTTCATCCATTTACCGTCCTACGTGAAAGCAACTCATTCCAAGACGAGAGCTCTCAGAACGGCCTTCGAGGTGCTCAAGAAGATGCAGGATAAGAACATTTCGCTCTTTGATGAGGTCAGTAAAAAATAAATGAGTGAGGCAACTTTTCCAACCCCCATTGAATGACTGACATGTACAATGTACTTAAACCTACACTCTAGTAATTTACTTGCAATGGAGTAAGTGTTAAAGGGATTGGGTAACTTTGTCTCAGATTCTAAAACAAAATCCTGGATTTGGCTCATGCTGCAATCATAATTATAAACCTTTAGGTCAATCAGGAATCGCACAACTTTTTACAAGCCGATCGCCTGTCTGATTATCAAGATATTTATGATTGGAATCAGAAATGTCAAAAACTGTTCTCCCAACAGTTTTTAGAAAACTACTGTCTATTGGGGAAAATGAGTATGTTAAAACCGGTCACTCAAAGATTTTTTACTTTTTGAGGCACTTCATGATCATTTTGAAGTGCAATTTTTTTAGGGCTTCAATATTATACCACATCACAGACACTAATAACACATACTGTAGGGCCATGCATCTCAGATTTGTAAAACTGGAAACATTGTTAAACAATGCCTTTAACCTACACTCTAGTAATTCACTTGCAATGGAGTAATTATACAGACATGCCATGTTATTCTGTTTTCCTTGAGGTGCAAGCATTTCATAAATTTACATCTAAAATTGTAGCTTCATTTTCTTTTTTCTCTTTATAAAACTTATGAAGAAAAACTTTTCATTGATGTATAGAGCATGGTAGGAATTTTACAATATACAAATCTCAAGGATATTTTAGACAGTAACGCCTAAAGTTCAATCCCAAATATTAAATTCCAAGCACCTACATTTGCAAGCTCCCTTTGAGGCATATCGTTTTATTTGCTTTTAGTTTTGTTTCATTTTCCACTCCAAACACTTCATTATTCAGGGTTCTTAACTTGGCTTGACATTCAGTGTTTCTTATATTGACAAACAGGTAGCCTGACACTTACTCCAGGTTTCATTTTGTCAAACGAATAGGATCGGTTTAGAGTTTCTATTGGGTCTTAGGTTAGGTTTATGCTTAGGGTCAGGTTTTTTGTTTGATCTGGAGTTGAAATTAGGAATTTAGTTAAGGAATTGACTGTGAAGCACTTGTTGCCCGTAGCATGTGACAAAGGACTTTGCAGACAGACTGTACAGAGTAAGTGACAAAGATTGTCTCTTCTGTTCTCTGTGTAGGTGTGTTATCGTGTACTGATGCAGCTGTGTGGGCAGTACAGGCAACCCGTCTTAGCTGTACAGGTCTTTATGGAGATGAGGAGGAGAGGTATCAAGCCAAATGCAATCACATACGGTCACTATAACAAGGTAAGCATATGATTATGCAGGTATAAATAAGCAAGATGTTTTTATTTGCACCCTGTTCTCCTGGTATCCCATGTCTTTCTAATGTTTTGTATCTGTGATCGCCAACATCCCCCCTTCTCTCTCTCTCTCTCTCTCTCTGTCCATCTCCCTCTCCCCCCCCCCCCCCTCTGTCGTTCTGTCTCTCTGTGTCTCTCTCTCATTTCTCTCTCTCTCTCTGTCCATCTCCCTCTCCCCCCCTCTCTGTCGTTCTGTCTCTCTGTGTCTCTCTCTCATTTCTCTCTCTCTCTCTCTCTCGCTCTCTCTCTCTCTCTCATTTCCCCCCTCTCTCTCTCACTCTCTCTCCCTCCCTCTCCACCTCTCTCTCTTACCTATTCTCTTTCCAACCTTCCCCTGCTTTGTCTGTTGTTCTCTTTGATTATCCGGAACCTTTTAAAATTGAAATGCTTTCCTTATTGTACTTTTATCAACTACATGTATGCATTTGCTCTGCAATCTTATTTATGCTTAGATTGTTAGAAACACTTAAAAGTATGAGGACAAAATCTTTATTTCCATCTTATGTAACTGCTGTTGACAACGTATAACAATAATATGTCTTGTCTATCCAGGGTAGCCTTATCAATATTAATACCCTTCTCCCGGAGGGCCCTGCAATCATAGTGTTACCCTGGCTTTCGCCAAGCTACCATGATAAGGCGCTTAGGCATTCAAGGAATTCCTTTTAACAAGGTACCATTTACGAAACCTGGGCACACGTTGAAAACTGATAGGTTTTAAGTTTGGCTCTCAATCACAGAAACCACACTCTTCTCAACTAATAGAAAGTGTTCTACGGTAAGTGTTACAAAGTACTAAGATGTGGTCTTTGATTCTCTTGCAGGCTGTCCTGGAATGCCAATGGCCAACCTCGTCCTTCAGCAGCTACCAGCAATGGGTGAAGCTCCGGAACACCCTGGCTGCCGTCATCCAGTTCCGACGCGGCATCAAGCACCGCGGCAGCTCCTCAGACACCAACAGCGATCTCCTGAGCCAGGGGAGCGGGGACAGCATGGAACCACCGGGGGTTATGCTTGAACCAGAAGGAGGAGGCAAAGATGAGACTGACCTAATCAAGCTGATGGAGGGCACGGCGGCAGTGAACCTCACCAGGGAGGAGAAGAGCAGTACTGGTGAGTTACAAACAAACACCAAAAAGATGGCATTGGACAAAGCTCAAGAATGCTCTTTCATGATTACATTTTTTCATAGTTTGTTGTGAGAAGCATTTGGCATGGAGGAAGAGAAGGAATGGTATTTGTGACTGTGAGCAAGGTTCTTGTCAATGAAGATAAGCAGTTACAATCTAGAAGACTCCAAAAGAGCCCTGGAACAAACTAAAAAGATCTCTTGCAGAACTGAAGCAAATACAAAAAGAGCTCCAACAAACAAGAAAGTGTTGAAATAGGTTCTCTTCAGTACGGAAGACACTTAGTACTCACACCAAGCATGAGGGATTCCAAACAAATACCAAGTGTGGGTTCTCCCTGTCAAGGGTACTAAGGAGGGTAATAAACAATTCCTGCCACAAAGCTTTGGTCTTTCTAAACCGTTATCCCCTGGTTGCTTGAAGACCAGGGTGGTGTTTCACAAAGCCTTTTTTCAATGACAAATGACAAAAATCAGTGACAAAGCAAGGATTTCAGTAGCTTATAACAAAAACTGTCATTTGTCACTGATGACAAGTTCTGTGAAACAGGAACCAGGGGTAAAGAAATACCTGACAAGAGCTCTGCTGATGATCTTTTGATTTTGTACAGCCTAAGCCAAATATCATGCTGCATCTTGCATTGCATTCTAACAAGCATGTGTTACTCACAAAATAAGGAAACAGAAAAAAAGAGCTGCATGGCAGGGCAAAAGCTAACTTCATATTTCATACCTTCCATACAAAAGAGTAGAAATTAGCAAACATGCATTTATATATATCATTTTTTCATATACATACATGCAAGGACAACAGCTACAGCCATTTCTTTGTTATATTTATTCTTACATCATCTTATAAATCTACTCCATAATTTTCTATTTACTCTCATACATTCTACTTTCATTATTTAATGTCCACACGTCTGTCGTTCGATTCCGAGTGAGGAGTTCAGTATGTATCCATGGTTTACAGAGTGTATTCGTCGCTAGAAGGATTTCACGCAAATGCATTAGCCTTCATTTAAAAGAAGCGATATATGATGTGACTAGGCATATATGTGTACCTCCTGTTAAGGTTCTCATTCATGAAGCATCACATTTTTACTGTTCTACAATATCAAAATCATTCAAATTAGCAATTGAATTCATATATATACATACTTTCATTTAGTTTGTCTGTGATATACATGTAGATTATTTTATTAACCTTAAAAAGAAATTAATTAGTAATAATATATGTCCATATGTGCATGATCCAAAGATGCAGTATATATGCTGTACATGGAGGTATTAAAGGCAATTATAATTCGGTGTCATGATTTGTAACTATTGTTCTGATAAGGGACCTGCATTCCCACAAATAATGGATAAATATGATTCTGAATGTAGTTTGTACAAAGGAAAAATGAAGAAGAAAAACAAACTCTGCATAGTTTTAATGGTAGTACATGTATATAATGAACACATCACGCTACTAATTTTTGTTTAAACCTCACAAAATGCTGCATGGTCAAAAAGAAGTAATTACCCCAACACAAACAAACAAAAACAATCTATTTACCGGTACCCAAATTTAAAGATATTGTTTTATGCCTTTTAAAAAAAATTGGCAATATGGAATGTCTCTGTGACTGGCTGACAAAAAAACCCTGTTGACATGTATATCACACTACTTGTGCTCTGATAAATATGTTTACATGAGATTTTTTTTGTAATAAGAATCTGCTTATAAATGTAATATCATATATAGTGTTTTGCAATTTTTGAGCATTATTGCTTCTGTAAAAATTAACATAGAAATACTGCTGCACATAAATGTTTTCGATCTGTGCTAATTCTTCTCTTCAAATCAATCACTCTATATATAATTATTTTCATGTGTATGCTCATAATACCTATATTTCAACGCAATGTACATGTATATACTTGTCTTGTCATTATACATTTTCTGGGACTTGAATACAAACTTTAGTGAAGACAAGGATAACAAAAGATGCATTGGTCAACCCAAGTTTGTCAAACAATTATACAGCTGGTTAATGGTGGAAAGTGCTCTTTGGCAATGCAAACTGGATTAAACTGCCTTTCCTTCTTATTTATAAAATGCTGTAACTCAGTCATGCTCTCTGACCTTTTATCTGAGAAGGTTTATAAAGCGAAAATATATCCTTATGAAGACTGGGCAGTCTATCAATATGCTTCACAATTCCTTGTTTGTTGGAAGATTTAAAGGTAAAGACCAGTATTGGAAATGCCCCAATTTCAAAAAAATGAAATGTAAGCTTTCATTACCAATCATGTGAAAGAATATGTTTTAACTAATACATGATGATAAAAAATTTGCCGGGAAACCGCCTACTAATTCATATATTTGGTAAATTTATTTCTCTCATGGTCTGTGAGAGATATAGGGTAGTCCCATATATATCTTTCTGTGTATAGTGCTTGTAACTTTACGAAGAATGGGCCAAATTTCTTATCATTTTGATGATTCCAGAACCTTGCAGATGCTAGATGCTAGATGATCAACCTTTTCTGATCGATTCCACAACATTTCTTTCACAATGCAATCGCATGACCATTACTGGTCTTTACCTTTCAAGAGAAATTCTCACTATCATAAATATATATGTATGAGAGTTTGAAGTCGAAGATATACATTTATAGTGGCAAAGAGCAATATGCCTGTGGTGCTAATTTCTGTAGTACTTCCTGTAGACCATTAAATAACTACGACACATTTTGTTGAACATGTAATCTATAAAGGGCTGATTTTCTATCTTAGAATTTTAAAAGATTTACTCTTTCAGCGTTGATTTTCACACCTCCTATGCTGACTCCTGTGCAATATTCCTAACCTTTAACCCGAGCGAGAAAACCCCCCCTTCCACTTTCAGGCAACTCTGACATGGGCTATGCTTCCATGATCATGGACGAGACCACGCCCAACGACCTCTTGACCTCTCCCGAACTCTCTCCCACCAAACTAGCCCGCCAGCGGGACTCCCAGTGCCTGGACGAGGAGGACGAAGAAGAGGCCACCCAGGACCAGGACAATGACCGCGAAGCTGATGTCGTCGGGCGTGAGAAGATGACTGGGGTAGATGGAGAGGTGAAGGGGGTCGTGGAGAGGAGAGGCAGGGAGGAGGAGGAGGATGAGGAGCAGGACGGGGTGAAAGAGGGCGTACATGAACGTACCTTTGTGGCAGATGACGACCTGTCACTTGTTGGTCACAGAAAAGAGGGTAATTGCCTTTTTTTGTGTAATTGCATTTTTTTGTGTAATTGCAAACAGCTCCCCTATTTGTGCTATATCAGTATTCTTTACCCTGAATTTCCAGTGTATTTATATTGCAAACAAAACCATATGCTGCTTAACAATTTTCTTGGTAAATTGTGTATTCTGATCTCTTGCCTATGTATTCCTGTTCATAGCTGATCCCTGCTAACGCAAAATCTTGTGAAGTTCTTTCATTCGTAACCTGGTATATGGTGTCCGGAGTGGCTTTGTGTGCAAAATATAATCAGTACAGTGTATGAAAATCATCATGTGTAGTAATTGTAGTTGCCATCAGTGGTTCAAATCTATTTAAACTTGAGCTGATCAAAACACTAGATACTTTCATATTTTACTTAGGATTCAGCCATGGCATTGCGGACGTTATTTGTTGTTGCATCATACATTGCTACCTCCCCTGTTCTCTTTGTGCATGCTCAGTTCTTGTAGTAGACTGCATATTTAATGTGCATGTGGTATGTAGAATGTGTAGAATGTCTAGTTACAATAGTGCATACACCAGAAGTTCACTTATGTTTTCAGAACACTTTTTCAGAATTTGTTCATTATATTATATAAAATAAAATATGAACATAAAATCTGCAGTATTCCAACATGTCTATTTCTCCAGGAATTGTTCAGAAATATAATATATTCTGTCCTACAAACATCCTGAAAATGTCAGCTAGGAATTCTGTTCATTTCTTAGATACCTGTGTCCTGTATATTGTTTCGATATTCAGAAATTTTTCAAATGGGATGTTTGCCTGCATAAGTAGGAACAAACTCTCGTCTACCTTAAATGTGAATCCTATTCTGAAGACTTCTCAATTTCAAATTGGCAACACTTTAAATGCATTTGCCTTCTACAGAGCTGAGTGCGGAGATCACCAACATCAAATCCCGCAGCGCCCCTGTGAGTGAGGTCTCCACCCCTATCAGCCGGAAGAGGCTGGACCTGGGGGGCATCGACACCCCTGATGATGGGCTGTTTGGTATCACCGATCTGAATGAGGAGGAACCCAGAGGGCGTGGGAGCAGTATTCTGCGGAGATCGAGGAGTAGTGTTACCAGTCGGGAAGCAGTGCATGGTGAGAGCCACAAGAAACAATTTGATTATAGATGACACAAAATCCAGGATGATTTTAATTTCTATTTGCCATGAGTGATAATAGACACTAACAATACTCATCAATAAATATAGGAATTACGCTATCAGGGATGCCAGTTTCAGGCAATAGCATGAATACAGGCCCTGGCAAGTTATTTTCAGACCATAGTTCAGGCTTTTTTGTGAACAAAATAACTCATTCTATGTGATTTTCAGGCCCTCTGATCAATTTTAACTTGCATCCCTGCACTATGCATTACATAAGATTTGCATTTCAAATCGTAGTTGGCTGTTATGATAACTCTTCTGTCACCTGTACAGAGTCGAATTTCCGAAATAATCTGGAAACCTTTGATGAAACTACCCATGAGAAATGCAGTGTGGTACAGGGATATCACTTTTAAGTTAGTCGTACGTGAAGAGAAATGTGACAATGATGGGACGTTTTTTTTTTTTTTTAATGAGAGATTTCTTGTTTTTGTTTCCACTTAACAAGTCATAATCCTAAGCTAAGTGTTGTACAAAGTTGCAATTAATCAAAATCGATTACAAATCCAAGTCTGTTGTTATACTGAATACCTCAAAGGTAATAAAATAGAAATAATTGATTATTTTTAAACTATCAAAGTTAGTATTTCATCAGAGTTGAAAATCAAAGATCAGACAATGAATGCAAGTTAAAATTCCTTTCCTTTTGTTGTTTGATTCCAGTGGTCCTTGATACTTCCCACTCATCAATGAATGGCAACACGTCACTGTTAGATGCCAATAATCTTGAGGAGGACAATCCATTTGATGATTCGCATCTTTCAGACCCCAATGACACGCCTCGAAGGAGGCACAAAAGCGCAGGGGAACACGCCTGGTCATTAGCGATCAGGAAACGAAACAGCAGCGGGGGTGACGCCGCGGCCACCATCACCGACAGTCTTGCCACCAGCGATAGCGACGTGATCAGCGAGGACAAGTTTGGTTGTGACGCGAAAATGCTCGAGAAATTGCGGACTAGCAGCGAATCGAGCCAGTCTGGCACCCACTCGCGGTCCCTGTCCTGCGGTAGCCGACCGCAGTATATCGACCAGAAGGGCGAGGAATTCCCTGTGCAGGTGAACGCTTTGGACGATGTGGGTAAGGAAGAGTTGTTGGATGTTTGCCATCAGATTAAAACCTTGAATGCAAGCGAGGACAGGGGGAGCTCAGAAGGGATGACAGACTCTGGTGATGATCTCCTGGTATCGATCAATGAGAAGAACTCACAAGATACTAGGGAGAGTGGTAGTGGTGATTTGATAGAGGTAGTCGATGAAGGTAGTAAACTGAAAGCTTCCAGTATCCCAAATGGTTTGCATGACATACATGTTAGTCCTAAACACACGACGGACAATGTCAGTACTGATGATGATGCATTGGATGACGTTGAAACACCGCTAGAGAATGGCTTGGGTAAAACAGAACTGTACAAACTGGAAAGTATGGAATCATTACCTAGTAACTCGTCATCGAATGACACCAAAGACTCTAAGGAGAACCTGTCATCGAAGCCTCGAAAGACGCCCAAGCGGACGCCAAACTTCCTGTCCAACCTGTTGACGTCGCCGTTCACGCCCCGCATGTCGAAGCAGTCCATCAGCCGCACCATCCAGTCGGCTTCGTCGCAGATGGAGACCCTGAGGACACGTGCGACGGACTTTGCCTCCAAGGTCGGGGAGTACACCAGGCAGCTCTCCTCCCCAGCCATCAAGGACAGTCTGAGTAATCCAAACCTCATGGACATTGATGACACGTACAGAGGAGATTACGGTGGCAAGTCAGAACCCAGAACCATCGCTGGATCATGGGGTGATAGCAGCAAGATGGATAGCTTGAATCCAGAGGAAATGGGCATCCACATGCCTGGATCGCAATTTGCAGGTACAGTATTCTTACTCTATTAGTAACAGTGGTTGGACAGTGAATAAGGTGCTTTCCTCCACCGTATACCGTAGCTGTATTCTCATTCTGTTCTTATTTTGGTAGTCATGTTTTCAAGCAGAACCACTGTAAAGGGAAATGGCATATATTGTTCCATTTTACAGTTTTACAAGAAGACAATGTTTACTTTTATATTGGAATGTATATATAAACTTAATGGACCATAAGACACTCTTTGCATATATTAGGTTTCATAATTCTTTTTTTGTATTAAGCAGGGGGTGAGATCTGAGGCAAAATATGTGTGCCTGTGATAGGTTTGACTTTTAATTCAACATTCACAAATTACCAAGTTTGATTACTGGTATGAAATTCTTTACTTAATGAATGAAACTTTGATCTTTCTGTAATTTTGAGATTTGAAGAGCAAGCTTATTGTCTTGGCTATGCCATATATTGATGATCACTAATCATCTGAATTCTTATTTTTTCTGCTATCCATACTTGCAGGTAGTACACAGTCTCTCAATAACCCCATGGCTTCAGATCAAGAAGATGGTTTTAACAGTGTCAAGCGGCAGTATGCCATGCATGTCTTCATGACTAGCTGCTTCCGTTGTGGTGCTTGCCGATCAGCCCTCTATGATGAACACATCATGGCAGGATGGGCTGCTGACGATTCCAATCTCAACACAAGGTTTGTGATTGTAGCCCCCTTATCTGTCAATTCTTATCACACAGACACAGAACTGCCAACCATTATGTTTTCCCAGAATTATTCTGTTTTTCCTCAAAAGGACGGTAGTACATTTTCTCTTCATGAAATACATTTTTTTAATTCTTACATACCCCACGTCAACCAAATACCCTAAAATGTTGATCACTACTTCAATAGAAAACTCCAATTGAGATTTATAATTTACAAAAAGTAAACAAAAGGAAAGAAAAAAAAGTGAAAGGCATAAATATTCTGAAAAAGAATGAAAAAGAATGGATATTTCTGGATTGGAGGAGTCTTGCAGGTGGTTGTAAGTTTTGTTTTAATGAATTCCTTTTTTTTTTCTTCTCGTAATTCCTTTTTTTGGTTGCCATCATGGTTCCCTTTTTGGGTTGCATAGCAAAAGGTGTTACGTGTCATCAAGTCATATTTTGCTTTGCTATCATTAAAATGTTAGTGATAACGTGTTATCTTCCTTTGTGTACCTACCTATAGTTGTGCATTCTGTGGATCGCCTCGGGTACCATTCCTGACTGTGACCATCAAGGACCTGCGTGAGCCTGGAGGGCTATGCACCCTGACCCCTAGCCCATCAGCAGAGAGCATGCAGAGCATCCAATCGGCTCCCTTCCTCAAGCAAGGCGACGCCCTCCCGGGGGGTAAGACGGACGAGTCCGGCAACGATTACCAGTCCAACCCCAGCGTGGACAACCTGTCCCTGGGTAGTGAAGGGGAGGGCGACCCCAAGCCCGCCCTGACGGGGAGGACCATGCCGCCCATGAGGGAAGCGGGACTGCATCACTCCGCGGGAGATGCCGTGATGAGGGAGCAACTGAAGAGAGGCAGTGGAGGGGGGGATAACTCACCCTCCGCAGCCAGGAGGCGGACCGTCAGCGAGTGCCATACTGCGGATTTGCTGAAGGAGGTAGAATCAGTTGAAAGGCCAGGGAATGGGTAAGTACTGTAATTCCTCCCTCTCCAGCTAAAAACTGTATTAAAGGTAAAGACCAGTATTGGAAATGTCCCAATTTCAAAAAATGAAATGGAATCTCTCATCTCATTACCAATCATGTGAAAGAATATGTTTTGACTAATACATGATGATAAAAATTTTGCCGGGAAACCGCCTACTAATTGATATATTTGGGAAATTAGTTTATCTATTGGTATGTGAGAGATAAACGCACGTGTCGCGCACGTGTGCGTAGTCCCATATACATCTTTCTGTGTACAGTGCTTGTAAATTTACCAAGACTGGGCCAAATTTCTTATCTTTTTGATGATTCCAGAACCTTGCAGTACACACCAATACTTATATGCTAGATGATCAACCTTTTCTGATCGACTCCACAACGTTTCTTTCACAATGCAATCGCATGACCATAACAGGTCTTTAACTTTAAGGAAATCATTAGTTCTGACAATTAGAATAATGAAAAGAATGAAATCTCCTCAGATTTAATTACTCCTGAGGCTTTAAATTTCAAATATGAATTTTAAACATGATATCTGCAAGCAGATACAGTCAAAAAAGCTAAGCTAGGAGCAAAAGAGAACATGTGGAAATCATGCTTTTTTATTGAATTGGATATGTAGTCCCATTTATGCATAGGCAGGGCTCCTCACTAGCTTTTTTGTGTTCAGATTTGGATTAAGTCCTATCTAATTTTTTTGAAATTCTGGGGTTCAGGACCTAGATTTTAGGTTCCAATGTGCTCAGGTGCCTGCTAGTGTCAAGCCCTAACATATGCTTTAAGGTATTTTTCAGGACATTGATGATTGGTGTACATTGTTATTAATGCATTAGGTTTTTCTGGTTTGAACAATCCACCTTTGCATGATAAAGTGTTCAGATTGACCCGGTAATGGCCATTCAGATAATACTACTAATAATGATAATAATAGGCATTTATATAGCACCGTCTATCTAGACAATTCTATTCAGAGGCGCACTAATTATTTTTTACCCCGGCTTTAGCCTAGCTGCCATTATAGCGCTCTAGCATTTCAAGGAATTAATTCCTGCCAGGTACCCATTTACCTCACCTGAGTAAAGTGTGGCAAATGTAGATAAATGCCTCGCCAAGATACATTTAAAGCTCATGCACATGATGTCATCTTGGAAGGAGCAAGCATTGACCTCTCAAGTGTACTGTCTTCCTCTGTGCTAATATCCTTTAGGTACCCTGCCAACATGCGTCCAGGCACCTCTTACAGCCTTCCCCGCTGCAAGACCATCCAGGAGACGACCAACCACAACGCAAGCCTCCTGGCTGACTTCTCCACCTTCTCCACCATCAGTCTCCCCTCCAGCATGCGGGGCTCCAGGGAGTTCCTGGCCCCGCCTCCTCGCAGGGACGCGGATCCCGACCCCGTCAACGTGCCGTACCTCAGCCCCCTGGTCCTGCGCAAGGAGATTGAGAACGTGATTGATAATGAGGGCGAGGAGTGTCTGAGGCAACCTGCTTTCGTCTCCCAGCACCCCATTATATTCTGGAATCTTGTGAGTATATTTAAATCCATATGCTTTTTGGCATGGTTTGGTTGTTGAAATTACCTGCATCATTTATTTGGTTGCAGTACTCTTGAAGTATTAGAAATGATTTGCCCAATTTTTTTTTCTTCATTTGATTGAATGATTTAGCTGTGGATGCATCTTAGGGGTATTTGCTGAGAAGAAAATAATGACATATTTGGTTTCCCCCCGGATGTTAATAGAAATAAATTGATTTTCACTAGCTTTCCTTGTTCCAACACATGTTTTTCAATTTCCCACCTCAACACATAATTCATTGAGCAATGTCCTCATGTTATCAAGAATGTGAGCATCAATTTCATTTTTTTTTCTTTCCAGATCTGGTATTTTAAACGGCTTGACATGCCCAACTATTTAGAGGGTGCCCTTCTGGCTGCCTACAGCGATAACAGGGATCTAAATGTAAGTAAACCATTACCTTATCAGCCTTATCCATGTTCTACAATTGTGCACTGATCCAGAATAGCTGATTCCTTTGCCTTTGCTTGCTCGAGATGTCTCTAAGCAATGTCTCTAAGCGCTTTACAGATATACTATTACCGTATTTTCCGGCGTAAAGGCCGCAGTATTTTCGGGTGAGAAAAAATCAAAAAGTCGGGGTGCGGCGTATACACAACAACAACAAAATTCAGCGGTCAAAACATCACGTCCATTTGCACGTATGGGATTATAGGAACGGTAGCATGACTAGACAATGGTACAGGACAATTCTAGAATAACTCCACACAACTTACCGACAAGTTTATGTTGCATAGTTGACATGAAGACGAAAAAACTTATTTTTCTAATAAAATCTGCCGATAGATCTAGATCTAAGTCCATACCATTGCATCGCCAAAAAGTAAACAAAGGGACAGGCCGTTACTTACGGAGCTAGCTGCCGCGCAACGCAACTGCGCAGGTCGAAAAATGCTATTTCGGATTACACCGTACATCGAGGAAGGGGTATTGTAGGATACCAAATCTGCGTACGATACAGTACTAGCTTAAAAGTCGATGAAGATCTGCTAAATTATGATCATTTTTGAGGTTAACTTCTTGTTGATTTATAAGAATATCGATGAATTTGGTATAGTTTGTAAAAAAAAAAGAGTGTTCTACAAGAAAATTACGATCATTTTGTTTGGTCCGTTTTTTTTTTTCTCTTTTTATTTTTTTTAAATTTTTTTCGTCAACGAAATGTCAAAGTTGGGGGTGCGGCCTATACGGCAGTGCGGCCTTTACGCCGGCAAATACGGTACCTTGGTCATTGGATTCAGTGCTTGCCCACACACATCATGTACAAAATCTCAACCCCCTGGGGAGCTTTTCAGCCAGACGTTACTTGACGCTCAAAAACTATGACCGTCGCATCCTACCGGGTACCCATTTAACACCTGGGTAGAAAGTAGCAAGTGCAGGTTAATATCTTGCCAAAGAATATTAGTGCCGTGTTGGGATTCAAACCCTCGACCTTTGCATCTCCAGTCAAGCGCCCTAAAACACTCGACCACAACACTCCCAGATGGGTACCTTAGGATCAAATCTAGATGAATGACATCATCCATTCAGTCATTTTGTTTCTCTAGAAGTTCTAGATGCCCCAAGTTATTTCAGATTGAGAGTTCTAAAAAGGGGATTGGTCCATAGGAACCAAATTGGAGATACAAGGCTATTCTAAGTTCATCCTTTCTGAACCAGCGCCCTGTCTTATTAACTCTTATTTGTGATTGATATCAATCGAAACTGTGTACACAAGAGATAGAAGACCTGTACAGTTGTGATTGATTGGTGGACTTGCGATTGATTCGGGTCAATCAAATTATAAGACGGGGCCCATGTTTAACTTACACCACCTTCATGATTACAAACTAAACCCTCATTCCTATGTTTTCCTCTTCTTTTGTTGTTGACAGGATGGTGGTCGTTACCTAGCAACGGATTCAAGGTACGTGAAGGTGACGATCCTATGGGACAACCTGAGTCTGTACAAGGAGGATGGGATCCCGATGTATCTTCACTGGACGCCCAATGCACAAGCTATCAAGAATGCGATCAACGCACCGGATAAAGCAGACTTCTCAAGCTCGTAAGTCATCCTTGATTTGTTTTTTCTTCAATCTAAAAAAATAATCAGAAAGGAAAAATATTGTGATAGCCGATAGTATTTAGGTCATGTGGGTGGTAATATGTCATGGTAAATTTACTAAGTATTGTTGATGAGGGATACATGTGCAGAGCAAATAATGTCCTCCTATAGTACTAGGGTGGTGAGACGTCTCCTTGCCTCTGTGAATTCAGAGGGTGTTTCACAAAGACTAAGATCGACTTTAAGTTGAACTTAACTATGGCAGGCCGTGCCACTCACATGCCACTCACCATTTACGGGCATCGGTCTCTCAAGGGACGTACATATCATAGTCACAAATCTACAGAATTTACATTTTTGGTAAATCATTATTGAAGGAATTTTTTGTATATAAAGATCATAATGGTGAGAGCAAACAGTGGCATGACGGCCTGCCATACTAAAGTCCAACTTAAAGTTGAGTTAAGTCCAACTTGAAGTCGATCTTAGTCTGTGTGAAACTCTCCCCTGGGGCTATACTATCTTCACATCACATGAGCAATGATAGCAGTTTCGTTGCATTTGTATTTGGTGATTACTTGCTTACTTTCTCAGGGTTCCTGGAAATCAGAGAAAGACTATAAATGAGTGGGTTTTTTTTTATACCAGTTAGGGAAAGGTCAAGGAATTTGAGAAGAACCGCTCACATCAAGGACAAATCAGGGAATATTATTGGCCTCAAAATTTAGTAGTAGTAGGAGTAGTAGTGGTTGTTATTTTACTTGACTGCTAAGAAAGTATAAATGCTTGTTAGTAAGCAACCAGAGGACTGACGGCTTTGGAATGAGGATTAATGCCTTACCTAAGTGCAGTAGCGCATGGACTTGGTTTTGAACCCGGGTCTCCGGATTACGAGACCACTGCTCTACCAACTGAGCTATCGCGCCACCTCAAAAAAAAAATTAAGTGCATGTACGTTTAATCTTATATGTTTTGTCTAATATTCAAACAGTGTATTCACTGGACGGTTGGCTATAATGACTCTTTATGTAGAATGCTTTCTTATGGAATTTTGAAAATCAAATTGTAATGCTCTAAATGCTGTGTTCAAATGCTTTGTCTGATTATTCTGCTTGCAGATTCATGCTCCAGATCGTGAAGTGCATCCGATTCAACAACGTGTTCCTCCCGATCACCATGCTACTGGATGAGTTCAAGAGACAAGGCATACCCCTAGGGGAGCATCGTAGCATCTACAGAGAACTCCTCTTCCTATCCTTCCTGGCCCTTGGCAAAGATAATGTGGATCATGGTAAGACACAAGAACACAGAATCAGTATATTCAATATATAGTATACATGTGGTATTTTGAGCGATTGGGAATCTTTGTCTCAGATTCTAAACAAAATCTTGGATTTAGCTCGTGCTGCAATCATAATTAAGAACCTTTATGTCAATCAGGGATCCCATGACGTTTACAAGCTGATCGCCCATCTGATTATCAAGAAATTCATGATTGGAATTCAAAATTTAAAAAACTTTTTCCTAACGGTTTTCATAACACTACAGTCTATTGGGGAAAATGAGTATGGTAAAACTAGTTACTCAAAGATTTTTACTTTTTTGAGGCACTTCATGATCATTTAGATTTTTCTTTTCTTTTTCAATATTACACTATATCACAGACACTGATAACACGTAGGGCCATGCATCTCAGATGTGGCATTGTTAAACAATGCTTTTACTGTTGTGATATAGTTTTTACAATGGAGAGAGTGCTAAATGCTAGATATTTTTGATGCTCTTTGCATCATGTAGAAATTCAAAAGATGACAAATTAAGTTGATAAGAACATGATGTTGCTAACATCTTCTGCAGATCTCTTTAGTTTGTTAGGTTGAGTTCAATTTATCTGGTTTTGGACTAAACACTCTACCTAACCCTAAACCTACCTGTAATTTGTTCAACCCCTTTGCAATCCTAACCTGGACCTTATGGGTGGTATTCTCAAAAGTGGAATAACTTTAGTCCATGGCTTAATCTACCGACTAAGTATGGAATGCCAAGTGTCCTTATGAATATATTTTTGAATAATTTGATATATTCCTAAATTACCATAACATAATTATATCATATTTATATTGTTTATTAATTATGTTATTACATTTTATTTTAATTTAGTGACAGATTAAATTATTCAAAAATATATTCATATGGGCACTAAGCATCCCATACTTAGTCAGTGGATTAAACCATAGACTAGGTTAGTCCGCTTTCAAAAATACCACCTTATATGTTTGATACAATAAAGCCCAGAGAAAATTTAACGGGACAGATGTTGGGTCAATCAATTTAAGATCATTTCCTCCAGTAGTACTTAGTTGCATTTTCCACTCTAAAATTCTTGTTACCTTCCACTATTTTTCTTCTAGATGCTTTTGACCAGCAGTATCGAGTGGCATACTCCAAGCTGAGGGAGGACCAGAAGGAACAGATGCAGAAGAATGATCGTCCTCCACCCAGGGCCGTTCAGATGTGTCGCACCGTCTTCTCCGATCTCAGCTTATAGAAGGAGAAAATGAGGGGTCACCCGTCGGTCTACAGGCTCCTGCTGAAGAGGAGAATGGTCATGGCAGCTCATTGAAGTTGAGTGATTAAAGATGAGGAGTTGGAAAACGGAATGTTTGACGCAAAGGAAAAAGAAATCTGATTATTTCAAGAAATTGTCAATCAATCATGCGGTCACAATAATTTGACGAAAAGATACAAGGAGTGGTTACCAGTTTTATACCTTTATGTTCCTGTCTCATCTCGATACTCAACAGCTATATGCAAATTTACCGTTATTGTAGAATGTATTACTAAGAGCACCTACCAAGATGTGAAGATCACACCAAACTTCTCACAGTGGAAGTGTTCATCTGGTACACATGGACCCTGAATAAGTCAACAGGGGCTTCTTGCACTTTGAATCTCTAAAATTTCAATCTGGAAAGACTATGATGGGTACATGATGCTCTGACTTTAGGTATAATCTACACACTGTTCTCTTAAATCTTGTTTGTAATTCAATATCTGTATTATGCAGGCAAACACGATATGACGTTTTGAATACCGGTATGGAAAAGGGAAGAAAAAAAAGCTACATATGTAGACCTACATGTACAGTTATAGGCAAGCTAAGAGTTCTACTTTGATTATCAAAGATGAAACTGGTTGCGTAAATTCCTGGTTCTCTTGAACTTGATTTATGAATGATACCATGGTGGGAATCACATTAAGTGTGTGGAATGCTGGGGAATTCCCTTATGTCGAAGAGTGAGTTCCTCTATCGGGTGAGTGAGTGAGTTCCCTGATATTGTTAAGAACCGGATATGAGGTAAATTCTATGGGTGTTGTGTAAGGTGTTGTTTCAATATATCACCGTGTCAAGTTGGGAGTATGACATGAACCATTTCAGTTAAATATACAAGGTACAATTGTACGTTATTTGCCACAGGCTTGTTTAAGAATCCGATACTGTAACAATATTGATCTTAGAATTGATTTTCTTGATTGCATCTATCTATACAATGTCATCACTGCCACTGAATCAAGTCGATTTGATGTTTTTTCTAAAAACTATTGCCCGTATTTACAGGCCGTCTTGATGCAGACTGCAATTCTCATTGTTTCCATGAATGATTATCATGTATGGATTGCAGGGTTTACTAGCAACTTACATATTCTGAATTTAAAGGATGCGTGTGCTTGATTTGATCATACAATGTATCATCTTTAAAGCTGAGAGATGATTTTGTTGTGTTCATGACAGAAGTTGTGAAGGGCATGATGTCATTACTTGCATAGGGGATTCCCCTGTGCCCTTGCTTTCATGCTTCTCACACAACAAGATACATCTATAGAGCAAGGGAATGAATTGGCTTTACAAACTGGAATAATTTGATTGAAAGGTACAGTCAGGAGGCTTTTACCTGATATAAAATGTAGTGGATGAGATACATATGTACTGCAAATGTACACATGAACGTACTTGTATCGGTACTCTATGAAACATGCAATATGATGAGAGAGAGAGATGCCAATTGATTTTCAATGAATTATGATGGATAGACACTGGCAAAGGAAAAAGCTCCAGACCGTTGAACGAGAAGTTACCGGTAGAATCTTGAAGTCGGTATTAAAAAGATTTGATGATTTCAGTGAACTGATGGATCGAGTTTTGAGATGAAGTTCGTACTGTTCCGAGTACCTTAAACGTAGACAAATTAGGGTTTCCTACATGTATGCTAGCTGTTGTGCAACAACATGACTGACACAATATTTTGATGAAATTTTTGTAATATAACGAAAGATGTGGAGCATGAGCTTACGGTCAAGGGTTTATTATTGGTACTTTGTAAATTGCTTGTTGATATCCTCTCAGTGCAATGTAAAACAAATGATGTAAATATTTCAAATTTTTTGTATGTTTCAAAATGTTATCGTTGCTCACTTTCAGGAATACTCTTTGTATGTATATTGGGTAGTTTGTATATGTGTTTTGTCTTTTTGTTTTTCTTAAAACATGAAATGCCTAGCTATTTGATAAAGTGACTGTTTATGTCATACTAGTGTACTAAAGATACAACTCTTAATAAGGAACTGGTGTAGTTCAAATTTATAACTTTTTTTTTCAGTGTAGTTCATATAAAATCAAGTGTGTATAGAAGAATTAATCTTGTATCGGCCTGTATGAAGTCAGAGTAGAATCAAAGGAGGCTTGATAGATTTGTGAGGGTTTCCAGGGACGCCTACAAAATTTCACACTCAATTCTTTTGTTTGAATGATAAATTTGTTATTCATCGATTAATTAATTAATCTCAATCATAGGTTTGATTCTGTACAAATCGATATGCATATGGATGACAATGCTGTTACAATAAAACTGCATAATTTGATTTTTGAAACACTTAAAAATGAGAACATAGCATTCAAAAAGCATAAGCAATTACAAATCTCAAAACAAAGTATGATGAATAATGAAACAATGAAAAAAATTCACCTCCAGAATTTGTTTAAAATCATATTAATTCAAATTTAGAAAAAACTCAGCGTTGATTAAAACGATATCCTTCTCCCCACCCCCTCTCTCTCTCTCTCTCTCTCTCTCTCTGTCTCTCTCTCTCTCTCTCTCTCTCGGTAAGTACACATATCTGGTATAACTGCTATCATTTTGATATACTGGCATCATGACTTTATATAATGCTAACAGTACCTGGGAGATATTCTATTTAATTATGTTGAAAGAAATGTCTGGTAATGCTATGGACTTATGGAATGCTGGGAAATACTTAATTTGCATCAATCTGCTGTGTTCACAGTACAAGAAGATCCTTTGTGGCAACAAACTTAGAACAAAGTTGCAAAAAACATTCAGGAAAAATACTTGATGCGCAGGATTGAATAGTTTGATTTTTGTTGTATGTAATGGGGAAATAAAGGGAACTCTCTAAGGTTTTTGCGTCCTTACACTTTACTTTTTCTATGTTCTTTAAGAAATCTCATGACTTCAACTGAAGAAAACAAAATGTTAAAAGAAAGCCTTCCGATTCCTTCTTGCCCTTAGCTATTAGACAGTCATATAATTGAATCAGTCTCGTATATGAAAGAAGAATAGATTACATAAATCAATCATGTGCAATCTTAGCCATTATTTGCAGAATATTTCTGTGAATCAGTTTTAGGATGATCTTTGAATTTGATATTTTTTTTTATTGAGAAGGATTTTGCTTCCAAGAACACTTCATAAAGTAATTCATTTTGTGTGTTGTATATTTACGAGTTGGAAGGCACACAACATTTGATTATGGTCTGTTTACAAAAAATTATGTTGGAACACTAACACACATGAAATGTATTTTGTATATGTATGAAATGAATCTTATGTGGGGATATTGACAATTTCTGAAAAAAACATTCACTTGAAATCCACTGTAATTATTGCAAGATAATGTAGAAACAAGAAGGGTAATTTATATGGCTTCCATTTACTATGTTCACATATTACAAGAAACACTGGGTTTATTAAGAACCGGTACCGTTTGTATCCATTAAATCAAAATCTTATGATTGAGTATTATGAGTTGTAATAGAATGTCAAATCCTTATCCAGTAAGATTGCTATCTTAAGTAAATTTGTGCCCTCCTGAAAAACTCTACTTTTGAACTTAACATTAAAGCTATATTTCCCAATTGTATCACAGGAAAATATGTGTAATACAATGTTTATTGATTTTCTTCTGTACTTTCTTTGATTTAATTCCCTTATATTTGTGTGCTATTTGGGTCTTGTAGAAAATCCCTTTTCATTGAAGAGGTTGATGCAAACTGTCTAAGAAGACAGACCAAATGACATTGCATCCTTTGTAAACCTTTGAATTATTTTTAATTTAATTATTTTGAGAATAGCCCTTTGATAGAATTAACCCTTTGCGTATGGGGACCAAGTTGGTCCTTTGTAAAGTCTATGGGAATCCAAGAATTCAGGAGGAAACAGGTTAATCTGTAGTCTTTGCTACAAGATTACTGAATCTGCACCGCCATGTGCTTAATTGAAAGGTTTGTCATGTGACTAGGTTTCAATAACCAGGTTTTAGTTCCTAGCCTTTTCTTGATTCTGATGAGACCTAATGGTAAAGAGAATACATGTAACCCCATTTTTTCATTTTGGTATATGGTATTTTGGTTTATGGGATGAGACACAATCATAAACATATTGATGGTGTTAAAGTACCGTGAGGTGTTTTGTTGTTTATGTTTTTTTTTTTTTTTTCATTTCATGAAGTGGAACATGTTTCTTGATGATGGACAGCGCTAATGATGAATAGAAACTGGATGAATACCATGAAGAAACAAGTAATTGAGTAAAGATAACAGAGACAATTGAGTAATTGAAATAGAAATCTTATTGTATGTCATCAATGGGCACCAGGACTTGGTTAACTTTGTATCATTCTAATGGCTGGTTAACAACTTTAATTTGCTTTATATACTTCTTACGTGAGCCTGTGGTTTTATCTGTATATAAGGATGTCTTCAAGATGGTATATATATTCTCTCAAACATTTTGCACTGTACTGGAATTTTTGCTATAGAAAAAAAAAGGTGTAAACATGTAGGCCATTTGTAATATGTACAGACATCATGCATTTTGTAGCTTGGTATCAAGGATCATGTAAAGATCTGTTCTCGGAATTGCATAAATTACCCATGGAGAACATTTATAATTTTGTTAGGCAGTATTCTCTTTTCATATTTTTTGCCATTTGTTGAGAATGTGATGTATAATTATGTACTGTACCATATTAAATGACAATATCCCGTAATACCCTAATATTTGGAGCAACTGCTTCGATCAGAAGTTTCTTTTTCTGTAAAAAAGAAAGAGGTGGGTGGGGAAAGTGACATGATTGGAGACGCAAGGAGGGCAAGCGTGAGAGAAGGAGAAGAGAGGGAGATATAGGGGAAATCCGGGAGGGGAAAAGGAGGGAGAGAGAGAGAGAGAGAGAGAGAGAGAGGGGAGGAGAGGGAAAGAAGGAACAGAGAGTAAGGGAAAGAGAAAAGGGTGAGCTTGCGGAAAGTAAGAGGAAGAAGAGTGAGGAGGAAGAGAAGAAGAAAGAGGAGGAGGAGGAGGAGGAAAGAAGAAACATGAACGGACAAATAAGTGATATCACCCCACCCCACCCCTTCTTTATCCCCCTTTCTCTTCCTCTTTTATGATTTGTTGTTGTTGTTGTTCCCCAACAACAACAACAATTTATTTATCAATCTATACAATCATTGTGTCTCTCGGCATGCCCAGTCGGTCTGCCTGTCTTTACTCGAGTCCCTGCCTCTCCTCCTAATTATCAGCTCCCTCCCCTCTCTCCTTGTCTCTATTTTTTCTGTATGTCTCTTTCTCTTTTTCTATCTCTCTCCGTCTCTCTGTGTGTGTCTCTCTCTCTTTCAGTCTGAACCATCCATCTCCCAAGATTGCTACCCACACTTTGTGACAGAGCACTCAAAACCGCTGCTCCAAAGCTGCAATAACCTAACCTTATTTTCCTCGCAACCAGCAGTCTCTCTATACCTTGAAAAATATCTCAACACTAACCTCTTCTGTCAGTAACATTATAAAGCGCATTTGAACATGGGTATGGAAAATGTGCTTTATCAATACATTATTATCATTATTAATATTTGTCTTCTATCTGTCTTTCCCCTCTATGTCTCCCTCTCTCTCTCTCTCTCCCTCTCTCTCTCTCTCTCTCTCTCTTACCCTCCCTTCCAGTGATGATGATAATAATAGGT